TAATAACTTATTATTTATTTATTAATAAAATGTTACTAATTGATTTAAAAAAGAAAGAATTCAATTTGTTTGAAATTTACGCGAGTATTAGGTAATTTTGACTGTTACCTTGTACACAGAGCCTTTGCTTTAGTGCGCTTTCTGGCCCTGCGCGCAAAGACAAAAAATACAATATTTCCGAAAGTTTAAGAGTCTCCATCGATTTCTTTTTGTCAAAATACTCGTGAAATCCTAAGGAATCAAAATATCGCTATTAGAAAAAAATTAAAGATACGCTTATAAACAAAAAATTTGTTTAAACAATATTTTTAAAATTTTTTATTTAAAACAAAAAAAATTTTTTTTGCAATTTTTTTCATTTTAATTGTTTCTAAATAATACGTAATCCCTGAAAAAATCATTAAAATCCATCCATATGTCTCTGAGATATTGCGTTTTCAAAATTTCAAAAAAAAATTTGAAAACCCTGAACAACCAAATTTTTAAAATTTTCGAAAATCTTTTTTGGAATTTTTATTTGCATGTATTCCTTTACAATTTCTTAAAGTTTTACAAAAATCGGAAAACTGAGGGACAACTTTGATTTGTTAGGTATGATTTGACCCCCATATGTATATTCAAAAAATATTTATTATTACAAATAAAATACAAAATTGTTTCTTACGTATCACAATTTTTCATTCTCAATAGTAAAGAAATTTTAATTGTTTATATGGATTAACTGTTTTTATATTCGAAAAAGAATCTAAGCTTTTATTAATTTTATTATTTTTGACATTTTCTTACAAACATGAATATTTTTGAACTATATTATGGCCGTTTTCGACACTCGCCCCGTGTTAACTCCCGGTTAACGGATGGTTAGATCCAACAGAATGTTGTTGATGATTGGATAATTGTTAACTCGGGGTTAACCTTGGGTGAATGCTGAAAACAGCCTATAAGCGTCAGTACTAGAGCTCGCAATCCCTCATAGCGGGATCCGGCAATCCTGCGGAATCCCACACTATTTGTTGAATCCAACATACTTATAAAAAAGGAGAGGATTTCTAACGGTCAGGGAAAAGTCCGGGAATGTCCGTTTTACAGAGAAATGCCCAATATGTATTTTATATTATATGTATTTATATATTAATAAATTTCGGATTTCGAAAGTCTGACTTCATATTTGTCATTAACGAAAAACCCCTGAATAACACGTTTAAATCGAATTCCATCATTATTTTAAAAAATTTCCCCCATGTTGGATCCGCCTTTGTGAATTTTAAAAATCTGACTTCAGATTTGTAATCAGCGACCCCAAAAACTCTCGAGTAAAAAGTTTTAAGTGAATTTGATCAATGTAAACAAATTTACGCCATATTTATTGGATCCGCTATTTGTTAATTTTAAATATCTGACTTTAGATTTGTAATTAGCGACCCCAAAAGTCCTGACTAAGAACTTTCAAGTGAATTTGATTAATTTTAAAAAATAAGTCCGCCATACTGGATCCGCCATTTTGAATTTTGAAAATCTGACTTCATATTGGTAATCAGCGACCCCAAAAACCCCCGAGTAACAATTTTCAAGTGAATTTGTTCAATTTTTGAAAAAGTCGTCCGCCATATTGGATTCGCCATTTTGAATTTTGAAAATATGAAAAATCCGACTTCAGATTCTTAATCAGTGTACCTGAAAACCCCCTAAAGTGTACTTGATTTTTAAATTCCTTGACTAGAAAAATGTATGCTTCAAAGGGTTAATGATGACTATTACACCAACTAGTGTGGAATCTGAACGAGCACTTTCTGCCGCAGAATATCTCTGTAATAAACTTAGAAGTAGTTTAGCAGATAATACCATCGATACTCTTTGTTTCTTAAGATCTTATTATCAAAATGAAAATTAGAACATTTTGGACTGTCACGCGCACTAAAAAAATAGTGGAGGTGCTGTCACATACGTTGTTCCGCTACAGTCCAAAAGGTCTCTCAGTGTAGGTCTAGGTATAGAACTGTTATTATTTAAAATTTGCATAGTAACGCCATCTATCAACAACACTTCTTATTAACTTATCCTTTTTATCAACTTATTATGGTAATTCCACATGATGATAAAAAATATTTGTAGCTATCTGATACTAATTATTTAAAGAATGTAATTTTTTATTATATCGCATTAGTAACTTTTTAATATTCTTGTCTAGACAGTAAATTTTCAAGTCAAATTTTATATTTTACAGTATTATTCTATTATTAATTAATTTAACAGTAACTACATTGCCTGATATTGTTAATCATTAAAGTAATACTATCTTAGATTATATTTGTGAAAATTTATTAAATATAATTGCAAATTTTATAATGTAGTAATACTTGTAAAAAAATCTGGTGTAAAATAACACGAAACTTGTAATTTCACACATCAAAATTATAGGTTGTACGTAGTAAATTTATTTCGTTCCAAAAGTAGTTTTACTATTTTTAATAATTTTACATTATACGACTATGTAATTTAATAGTTTTGTGTAAATTTACTACGTCCGACGTAGGAAAATTTGATCACTATGTCCGACGTGGTATTTTTACATTGCGTGTATTTCTACACTTTGACGTAATATTACGTCGCACGATCTGTACAATTACATGGCGAATGTAATTTTCTTATTCCTTTAAAATTTTCAAAAAATTTTCAAGTTTTTATACACTGTAAAAAAATCTGCTGTAAATTTACTATGTCCGACGTTGGAAAGTTTGGTCACTATGTCCGACGTGGTATTTTTACACGCCGACTGTAATCTACATAACCTGCAAATATTTTTTGAAATAATATTTTCAGTCGTAACTTTTTGTATTTATGAAATATAGCCCAAAACTTTTTGTTATATTATTATTTACTTATAAATTAGCATATACTTTCTATAAATGTACATTATATACACTTTTTTAGAGTTATTTATAAAAACTTGAAAATTTTTTGAAAATCTTAAAGGAATAAGAAAATTACATTCGCCATGTAATTGTACAGATCGTGCGACGTAATATTACGTCAAAGTGTAGAAATACACGCAATGTAAAAATACCACGTCGGACATAGTGATCAAATTTTCCTACGTCGGACGTAGTAAATTTACACAAAACTATTAAATTACATAGTCGTATAATGTAAAATTATTAAAAATAGTAAAACTACTTTTGGAACGAAATAAATTTACTACGTACAACCTATAATTTTGATGTGTGAAATTACAAGTTTCGTGTTATTTTACACCAGATTTTTTTACAGTGTAAATAACTCTAAAAAAGTGTATATAATGTACATTTATAGAAAGTATAATATGCTAATTTATAAGTAAATAATAATATTACAAAAAGTTTTGGGCAATATTTCATAAATACAAAAAGTTACGACTGAAAATATTATTTCAAAAAATATTTGCAGGTTATGTAGATTACAGTCGGCGTGTAAAAATACCACGTCGGACATAGTGACCAAACTTTCCAACGTCGGACATAGTAAATTTACACCAGATTTTTTTACAGTGTTGCAAAAATTGGAATTTGAAGATTTTATAAAACCTAAAGGCCTAAGCACAACTACTTCGCGAATGTCGTTCGCGAACGCAATGCTTGGGTCAAAAAAGGACAGAGATATATTTGTGTCCTTTTCTAACTCATGCTTTACATTCGCGAACGACGTTCGCGAAGCAGTTGTGCGTTGGCCTTAAATATCTCTACATACCTGTGTATCAATTACAGTTGTTATAGTTGCAATATAATTGGCATTAGTTATACTTATGTCAGTACACTAAACATATATTAATAATATAAACAGTTTGAACTAATAAGAAATATATAGTATTGTCATCTGGTGGCGGAGTTTCGAATCATTTAGAAATTCATCGGTAACTATCAAAATTCCCCAAGTGCGAATTTCCCCAAGCGGCGTTTGACCCAATATGCTATAGTGAGTGCTGTTTTCGATGATGTTAGAGAAATCTGTAAAAATGATAAAATTTTAGTTCTGAGAAGTTCGCGAGATGCCGATATTGTTTCAGTTTTGTAACGAGCGACTATTATCTCGCTCGAATCGTGATTCGATATTAATCGAAATGCGATTAAAAGTCGCGGGAAAATATAATATTAATTTTATATTTAAAATAATATCCTGTCCATAGATTGAGAAGAACTTTCTGCGTTCGATTTAGTAAATATGTTCCTAAAATATTGTATTCTTCAAATATCTCTCTATCAATAGCCGAAATATAACAAAAGATGAAATACATATGTTTCGCAGACACAGTATGTCTTTGAAAATATCGCTACAAAAAATAGTAAGGTTTAAACACATTTCCAGCAATATGAGTTTGTGTATTGTCACTCTGAAGACAATATACCCTTAAAACTCAAACACAATTGTCAACCATAAACTAAGAGAGATAACCCCAAAGATGTCATAAAAAACTGTCTTTCAATTCTCAAGTAGACCCTCTTTGGAGGTAAAACCATAAAACACATCGGTTGACCAACGTACATTTTATCCTTTTTCTCAGGATAAAATCACGTACTGGAAAAACCCAGTTTTCAATACTTTTTAGAAATGTTAATTATTCCACTACTTTTATAAATAATTGTAATTTGCATATTACATTATTTCTATCAATCTAACATCTAATCAATTATTATAATATAATTGATAATGAATTAAGACTTGTAAATAAACTACATTCAAGCTTTATAGTTAAACAATTAATTTGTTATAACTATCATGACCATCAACTATGTATAATTCTATATAATATTTACTATATTTGTAACACGTATGTGTCATGTACAGGTGTAAATATAATTATTATAAATATAAATATTATTATTAGAATGTATGCATGTGTATATATATATTGAAATAATTATCATGTGATAATTATTGGAATCATAATGTTATGATGAATGTGTATGTATCAACATCGACAAGTATGACGTATGAGTCAGTATTAGTATTAGTAAAGTGCATAAATGTATCTACTATATAGTGGGGATACTACTATACTATACTATACTACTGTATAGTGGGGGATGCGCGTCATTTAGAACATGCGCATTTCCTCCAACATGGACTAACAGCGGAGAACAAGTCCGCTGGACTGTAACTACAGATTAGATTTAAGTTGACTATTGACTAGAAAGGTTGCTTCTAAGCTTCCTTAGTCATAACTTGTATTCTTGAACTTTTAGTAAATAAATATTTGGGTTTACTCTCAAGAAGACTGATTTCCTTCAATAATTAATGTTATTAATTATTGAATGATTTATTCTACTTGTGAGATTTTTCCCTCCGTTTTAACGGAATATTCACGTTTATTATAAGGTAGTCCAAGTTGGGTGGGGGAAATGCAATATGGCTGACATCAGCTGATTTACCGGAGGACAAACAATGCATTGAATTCAATGGGACAAATCAGTTTTTTAACCATAACTTTTTAAATATTCATTTTTGAACTATAGTGTAATGGAAAATTATTCTTTATTTATCGAAATCTATTTTTTAAAACAATAAAACCAAAAAATTTAATTTTATTGTTTTAAAAAATAGATTTCGATAAATAAAGAATAATTTTCCATTACACTATGGTTCAAAAATGAATATTTAAAAAGTAATGGTTAAAAAACTGATTTGTCCCATTGAATTCAATGCATTGTTTGTCCTCCGGTAAATCAGCTGATGTCAGCCATATTGCATTTCCCCCACCCAACTTGGACTACCTTATTTGAAATTTCCCGGTTCCTGTCAAGGATTTAACCAAATTCTGAACTCAACGAATCACCGAGCAGTAATCGCGTTTGCGCGAGTAATTTACATTTGTGCTCGTAACAGTTTGTGTATTTGTGAAATTGACATAGGCGTAGATTCGTAAATATTTGGACTTTGGAGAATGCAGAGAATAATATGTGTTGAGTGTTAATTAAAAAAGTAATTAATTAATAATTAATTAATTAGAATTAATTAATTAATTAATTAGACGTGACAAAGTTATTGCCTGTGTTAGTTAATTATATGGATAAGTGTCAAAAGTTCTCTAATGAAAAAAATGAGAATAATAATGGATACCAATTTTGAGGTTAGTTTCAATTTTATTTTCTATAATTATTTTTGTTTACTAATAATTTATATTTAATAATAATTATAATTAAAAATTAATTGTAAAATGAATCAATAAAAAAATTAATATTCAATTGAAAGGGTACAAAAGTTAAATCGCATAACATTTTTTAAGCAAGGGAAAAATCCCAGTAAGAAACGAAACATTGAAAAGTATTAAAAAGATTCTATTCTTTTGAATGCCATTTCTGTCCAATACTTTTCTATCCAGTGAGAGCAATATAAATAGTAACGATATCAATCCTCTTGAATACCCAGTAAGAAAGCAAAGATTAAGAAGCATTAAAAAAATTCTATCCTTTTGAATACCATTTCTACCCTATGCTTCTGAATTTTGCGACAGTAGTATAATAATATAATACTAATATTGTTGACATATAGAATGTTCAATTACTTTCAAATAACTGAACTCATGAATTATTTGCTATTTTAAAAAAGAATAATTATTAAATTATCAGTTAAGAGGGTTAAAAGTGTTTAAAGGTCTCTGAAATTTTTAGGTTATGATTTATTGTCTAACAGAATAACGTCCCTGACTCGTTTAAATGACGTTAAATTGGTAAACAATAAGTTTTTCAGCAAGTTTTTCTTTGAACACAAACACTTTTTACAAAATCTTCCACTGTATGTATCTTATAAATTACAAAAATCCAGAAGATTGCTTGAATGCATGCAGAAACGCGGTTCCAATGAAAAATTGAAAAGTGATATAATGACAGGCTGTAATAATTTCGGATGGGATTGAAAAGCATTCAGAAAAAAATTTTGTCTTTGTTAAAAATTACAAAAAGAATTGAATAGCATTCATTTTTAGACGAAACGTGGTCCTATCATGGTATAGAAAAGTATTGGACAGAAATGGCATTCAAAAGTATTGGATAATTTCTACTACACCATACAGAGTTTGAATTATTTCAATCCTTTTCAATTTTTCGTTTCTTACTGGGATAATTCATTAAAAAATGTACAAAGCATATCTTTTTATTTGTCTTTTTTTATTATTTATTTATTTATTTATTTATTATTTTTCTTTTTATTTATGGTGGTAAATAAATAATTGTATTAATTGTACATTTTTATTTTAACGTTTTATACATTCATATATTTTACAAATATTATTTATTATTATTATTATTATTATTATTATTATTATTTACACTATTTGAATTTTTATTATTTTTACATCATTACATTTATTTTTCTTGTTAATAATGCTTTTTTTATTGTTCTAAAATAAAAAAATTTAAATTGTCATTGTTATAAATAATTATTTTTAATTAAAATGAAAATTTCCAATTAGTAATTAACGTTCATAAAATGATTTGCGTGTGGAAATTAACTTTTCATTAAATTATAGAACACAATTAAGTAAATTAATAAAATAATAATCAAAATTTTTCTAATAAAACAATTTTTTTTAGCTTTCTGCAAGTGGACAGAGACACCAAAAGATGTCGAATCAACCTCAAGGCAACCAGAGACGAGGAAACAATTGAAATTGACTTTAAATTGCTTCAAGACTTGCTATCATTAAAAGAATTGTCAATTAATTAATTAATTAATTAATTTGCAGGATATAAAATTTAAAAAAAATGTATATTATATTTTTATATAATAATATATAATACACTGTAATATGCAAACATTCTTTTAATTTTCCACGTGAAATATTAAAACATTTCCGTCCGTTCCGTTTTTTAGTAAAATTAGAGTCTAATTAAAATTAATTGAATATCAATTAAATATTACGTTACTACTACTGCTGCAGCAAAATTTAATTTTAATTTGATTTCCATTGCTATAATATTTAAAATCTAAAAAAATTGAAATAAATTCAGATTTTATAAAACAGAAAATGTACAGATACTATACAATTGACAGCAAAAACGAAAAAAGTAATTACAATAATTTTTGCATAAAGAAAAAAATATTTGACGCTTTCATAACAACAGATTCATCATTTTGTAAAAAGTTATGTTTAATGAATTTAGATATTTTCAGAACAATTTTTTACGTTCAATGCACTCAGCCAAAAAAAATACATAAAAAATTGCAAATTTTCAAAGACAGGAATTTTTTTTTCATCATCTAAAGATTTTCTAGTTTCTTTTCAAATATAAAAAGACGTTTTTAAAGGTTTCAGGAGAGAGCAAAGTAATCCAAAGATTTTCTGAAAAAATCTTGACATTCAAGAAAATTAACTAAAAAAAAATTACGAAAATTCCAAATTTATCAAGACAGGAAATTTTTTTCTCGTACAACTAAAGTTTTTCCAGTTTCCTTTCAAGGAGAAAAACATTTGTCAAAAGGTTTGATAAGGGAGCAAATAAATTCACAGATTTTATGAAAAAATTTTGACGTTTGAAGAAACTTAAGTTTGTCTAGTTTTCATTCAAGGAGAAAAACATTTTTCAAAAAGTTTCGAGGAGGGAGCAAAGAAATTTAAAGATTTTCTGAAAAAATTTTGACATTCGATGAAATTATCCAAAAAAAGTAGAAAATTAAAATTTTTAAAGACAGGAAATTTTTTTCTCTATCCACTAAAGTTTTTCTAGTTTCCATTCAAGGAGAAAAACGATTGTCAAAAGGTTTAAGAAGGGATCAAACAAATCCAAAGATTTTTGGAAAAATTTTTGCGTTCGAAGAAACTTAGACAAAAATAAATAGGAAAATTTGCAAATTTTTAAAGACAGGAAATTTTTTTCTCCATCCACTAAAGTTTTTCTAGTTTCCATTCAAGGAGAAAAACATTTTTCAAAAAGTTTCAGGAGGGAGCAAACAAATCCAAAGAATATCTAAAAAAATTTTGACGTTCAATGAACTTTGCCAAAAAAAAGTAAGAAAATTCAAAATTTTTAGAGACAGGAAATTTTTTTTTGCATCAACTAAAGTTTTTCTGGATTCGTTTCAACAATAGAAAGATTTTCCAAAAGTTTTCAAGAGGGAGCAAAGAAATTTAAATATTTTCTGAAAAAATTTTGACATTCGATGAAATTAGCCCAGAAAAATAGAAAATTCTATACTTTTTAAGAAAGGAAATTTTTTTCTTAATTAAAAAAAGTTTTTCTAGATTCGTTTCAACAATAGAAGGATTTTCCAAAAGTTTTCAGGAGAGAGCAAAGAAATTTAAAGATTTTCTAAAAAAATTTTGACATTTGATGAAATTAGCCAAAAAAAGAGAAAATTTTAAATTTTTTGAGAAAGGAAATTTTTTACTCAATCAATTAAAGTTCTTCTGGTTTCGTATCAATTCTAAAAAGATATTTCAAAAGGTTTGAGGAGGGAGCAAAGAAATCCGAAGATTTTCTGTAAAAATTTTAACATTCGAAGATCTTGGACAAAAAAACGAAAATTCCAAATTTCTTAAGACAGGAAATTTTTTTCTTAATCAAAAAAAGTTTTTCTAGATTCGCTTCAAAAATAGAAAGATTTTCCAACAGTTTTTAGAAGGAAGCAAAGAAATCCAAAGAATATCTGAAAAAATTTTGACGTTCTATGAACATAGGTAAAAAAAATTCGAGAATTCAAAATTTTTAGAGACAGGAAATTTACATCTGCAGCAACTAAAGTTTTTCCACTTTTCTTTCAAGGAGAAAAACATTTTTCAAAAGGTTTAAAGAGGGAGCAAAGAGATCTGAAGATATTCTGACAAAATTTTGACATTTTAAGAACTTGGACAAAAAATAAGAAAATTCTAAATTTTTTGAGAAAGGAAATTTTTTCTCTATCAACTAAAGTTTTTCTGGTTTCGTATCACTTCTTAAAAGATTTTTCAAAAGGTTTGAGAAAGGAGCAAAGAAATCAGAATTCAGATTTTCTGAAAAATTTTGACATTCAAAGAACTTACCAAAAAAAATAGAAAATTCAAAATTTTTAGAGACAGGAAATTTATTTTTGTAGCAACTTAAATTTCCCTAAATTCGTTTTAACAATAGAAAGATTTTCTAAAAGTTTTCAAGAGGGAGCAAACAAAATCCAAAGAATCTTTGATAAATTTTGACGTTCGATGAACTTTGCCAAAAAAAAGTAAGGAAATTCAAAAATTTTTAGAGATAGGAAATTTATTTTTGCAGCAACTAAAGTTTCTCTAGATTCGTTTCAACAATAGAAAGATTTTCCAAAAGTTTTCAGGAGGGAGCAAAGAAATTTAAAGAGTTTCTGAAAAAATTTTGACGTTCAATGAAATTAGCCAAAAAAAATAGAAAATTCAAAATTTTTAGAGACAGGAAATTTATTTTTGCAGCAACTAAAGTTTTTCTAAATTCGTTTCAACAATAGAAAGATTTTCCAAAAGTTTTCAAGAGGGAGCAAACAAAATCCAAAGAATCTTTGAAAAATTTTGACGTTCGATGAACTTTGCCAAAAAAAAGTAAGGAAATTCAAAAATTTTAGAGACAGGAAATTTTTTTTTACATCAACTAAAGTTTTTCTAGATTCGTTTCAACAATAGAAAGATTTTCCAAAAGTTTTCAGGAGGGAGCAAAGAAATTTAAAGAGTTTCTGAAAAAATTTTGACGTTCAATGAAATTAGCCAAAAAAAATAGAAAATTCAAAATTTTTAGAGACAGGACATTTTTTTTTGCATCAACAAAATTTTTCTAGATTCGTTTCGACAATAGAAAGATTTTGCAAAATTTTTCAGGAGGGAGCAAAGAAATCCAAAGAATCTCTGAAAAAATTTTGACATTCAAAGAACTTACCAAAAAAAATAGAAAATTTAAAATTTTTAGAGACAGGAAATTTATTTTTGTAGCAACTTAAATTTCCCTAAATTCGTTTCAACAATAGAAAGATTTTCCAAAAGTTTTCAAGAGGGAGCAAACAAAATCCAAAGAATCTTTGATAAATTTTGACGTTCGATGAACTTTGCCAAAAAAAAGTAAGGAAATTCAAAATTTTTAGAGATAGGAAATTTATTTTTGCAGCAACTAAAGTTTCACTAGGTTCGTTTCAACAATAGAAAGATTTTCCAAAAGTTTTCAGGAGGGAGCAAAGAAATTTAAAGAGTTTCTGAAAAAATTTTGACGTTCAATGAAATTAGCCAAAAAAAAATTGAAAATTCAAAATTTTTAGAGACAGGACATTTTTTTTTGCATCAACAAAAGTTTTTCTAGATTCGTTTCGACAATAGAAAGATTTTGCAAAAGTTTTCAGGAGGGAGCAAAGAAATCCAAAGAATCTCTGAAAAAATTGTGACGTTCAATGAACTTTGCCAAAAAAAAGTAAGGAAATTCATAATTTTTAAATACAGGAAATTTTTTTTTTTGCATCAATTAAAGTTTTTCTAGATTTGTGTCAACAATTGAAAGATTTTCCAAAATTTTTCAAGAGGGAGCAGAGAAATCCAAAGAATCTCTAAAAAAATTTCGATGTTCGATGAACATAGGTAAAAAAAATTCGAAAATTCAAAATTTTTAGAGACAGGAAATTTATTTTTACAGCAACTAAAACTTCCCTAAATTCGTTTCAACAATAGAAAGATTTTCCAAAAGTTTTCAAGAGGGAGCAAACAAAATCCAAAGAATCTCTGAAAAATTTTGACGTTCGATGAACTTTGCCAAAAAAAGTATGAAAATTCAAATTTTTTAGAGACAGGACATTTTTTTTTGCATCAACAAAAGTTTTTCTAGATTCGTTTCGACAATAGAAAGATTTTGCAAAAGTTTTCAGGAGGGAGCAAAGAAATCCAAAGAATATCTGAAAAAATTTTGACGTTCAATGAACTTTGCCAAAAAAAAGTAAGGAAATTCAAAATTTTTAGAGACAGGAAATTTTTTTTTGCATCAACTAAAGTTTTTCTAGATTCGTTTCGACAATAGAAAGATTTTGCAAAAGTTTTCAGGAGGGAGCAAAGAAATCCAAAGAATCTCTGAAAAAACTTTGACGTTCAATGAACATAGGTAAAAAAAATTCGAAAATTCAAAATTTTTAGAGACAGGAAATTTATTTTTGCAGCAACTAAAGTTTCTCTAGATTCGTTTCAACAATAAAAAGATTTTCCAAAAGTTTTCAGGAGGGAGCAAAGAAATTTAAAGATTTTCTGAAAAAATTTTGACATTCGATGAAATTATCCAAAAAAAGTAAAAAAATTCAAAATTTTTTAAGACAGGAAATTTTTTCTCTATCAACTAAAGTTTTTCTGGTTTTGTATTACTTCTTAAAATCCAAAGAATCTCTGAAAATTTAGAATTTTCGAATTTTTTTTACCTATGTTCATCGAACGTCAAAATTTTTTCAGAGATTCTTTGGATTTCTTTGCTCCCTCCTGAAAACTTTTGCAAAATCTTTCCATTGTCAAAAAGAATCTAGAAAAACTTTAGTTGATGCAAAAAAAAATTTCCTGTCTCTAAAAATTTTGAATTTTCATACTTTTTTTGGCAAAGTTCATCGAACGTCAAAATTTTTCAGAGATTTTTTTGATTTTGTTTGCTCCCTCTTAAAAACTTTTGGAGAATCTTTCTATTGTTGAAACAAATCTAGAAAAACTTTAGTTGATGCAAAAAAAATTTCCTGTCTCTAAAAATTTTGAATTTTCATACTTTTTTTTGGCAAAGTTCATCGAACGACAAAATTTTTCAGAGATTCTTTGGATTTTGTTTGCTCCCTCTTGATAACTTTTGGAAAATCTTTATATT